CGGGGGGAGCCGGGCAGCGGCGCAGCCAATGAGCCCCGGCGGGCTGGGGTGAGGGCGAGCGGGAGGGCTGGGAGGAGAGAAAGAGAGCGCGAGAGCGAGACGGCAGGAGACGGGGAGGAAGGCGGGGGGCGTCCTCCTCCTCCTCCTCCTCCTCCTCCTCCTCCGGGCGCCGCCGCTGCGCCCATGCCCGCGCCGCGCGCCTCGCCCTAGGCTCGAACCGCCGCGGCCGGAGACGATGGGGCAGAGCGCGCCGCCCGCTCCGCTCCTGCCGCCGCCGCTGCTGCTGCTGCTCGCCGCGCTGCTCGCCGCCGCCCTCGCCGGCTTCCCCAACACCATCAGCATCGGTAAGCGGCGCGGGCCGCCCCGGCAAACTTCACCTATTTTTTTTGTTAAATTCCTTAATTGACGAATTCGGTGGCCGCGGCGGCGGGCGCCGCCGGCGAGTCCCGCGGAGCCCCGCGGCCGCGGTAGCCTCCCGCCTCCTTCCCCGCAGGTGGACTCTTCATGCGGAACACGGTCCAGGAGCACAGCGCCTTTCGCTTTGCCGTGCAGTTATACAACACGAACCAGAACACCACGGAGAAGCCCTTCCACCTCAACTACCACGTCGATCACTTGGATTCCTCCAACAGCTTCTCCGTGACGAACGCCTGTAAGTAAAGACGTGCCCGGCTTTGCGCCCCGCTTTGCGCCCCGCTTTTCCGCGGCACCCCGGAGTTATCCCTGGTGCGGTGCAGTGCAACAAATGTGCGCGTGCCCCGCGCCGGGCTCGGGGCTTTGCAGCGCTACGTGCCCTAATAGCAGCTGAGCGCAAGTTCTCATAGCGCTTCACTTTCCCCCCTTAGCTTTTTCTTTTTTGACAGAAAAACAGCCCCGGTGCCTTTGTAGCAGCGTTGTGTAGTTGCAATTAGTGCATCTGTGCTCAAATAATGTCCTTTTTCCTCCTTTTTTTTTTTTTTTTTCTGTTAGGGCTGCAACCTCAGTGTGCAAAACAGTGTAATTTGCAAATAATAGCACGTAAAACAGAAACAGCTGCTTAAAGCCAACCTTGAGACGTAACAGGAGGGTTTACTTCTTCCCTGTGCTCTCGGAAAAAAAAAAAAAAAAAAGGACGTTTTCTTTTGTTTTTCCTCACGGAGAAAGTCTCGGTTTAAAAAGTGCTGGATGCTGCTGGGGCTGAAGGCAGAGAAACCAGCACCACAGCGTTGTGAGCAGTGGCTTTGCACAGGCAGTGCGTGCGTATAGTTTGAGCCTCAATTAACAAATGAAGCAAAATAAAACTTTAATTCGTGTTAGTGTGGTGTTAAAAGGAGAGCTCCTTTTCTGAAAGATGGGTGTGTGTTCTGCATTTAAAAAAGCATTCATTTACCTACAGTATTTTCTGAATATTGGTTTTGCTGCGGTGGCTAAATGAATTTTTTTTTACCTTTTTTTTTTTTTTTTGTAAACTTTTGGAAAGATAGGGAGTCTTACTGGGTGTTAGTTGTGTATATATATGTTTTTCAGTATATAGAAATATGTCTGTGTATGATCTAAAGGACCTCTGAATACCATGTACCAACTTCGTGTTATGAACAGGTTTCTTGTTCATATGCTGTCAGTATAGGGCTTTTTAAAGATGAAGGATGGTACTAGTGTGGGGTCTTGGAAAAAGGCTATCTGTTGTTTTAAAACAATGCAGTTATTTGAATATCTTATTTCTTTATTATTTAGGAGGATTAGAATGTGGTTCTTCTCCTGTGTAACAGGAAGGCTAGGAAAGTAGATATCTGAAATTCTAGGAAGGATAAAATGTTTTCTGAGATAATTCAGATTTGGAGAGCATACAGTAAGAAAATACTCAGAGAAATTGTGGGCTGATGTTCCAACATACCCCCCTGTGATTGCTTCTTGCTAGTGCAGCATCAGACTTAAAGGGGCTTTGGATTGGGACCTTTAATAGTTGGGGGGAATAATTATATAATATCCAATTAAAATATTCAGTAAAGTGGAAAAAAAGCGTAAATAAAAGTGTGCCTGTCCTTTGCATCTTATTTTACTAATCCTATCCTGCCTCAACAGCTCTAACAACAAACATCTGACTATTAATCCTTAATCAGTGTAATCCCTTCAAGAGGCTGTATCTCAAACATAGTTTCCTAAATATCAATTATATGGATTTAAACTAAATACATTAAACTGCTTGGGTGATTAATTATTAATTGTTTTTTAAAAGTTCTACCGGCACTTCTTCCCAGATCCCACCGAGAGCAGCGAAGCACACAGTCATGCAGAGGCAGCCGATGTATTATTTAGTTAGTGTGCTCCTCATCTTCTGACAGCTAATGATTGTTGTCGTTGCTTAGTGAAAGCTATGGTGACTTAGCAAGATGAGAGTTGATTTTCTGTAGTGTCTGGCTGCATGTTCCAGCAGACATACTACGAATGCAGTGAAATTTGGGAAACTTAAATCTCTGGAGAAACCTTGGACCAGAGAGTACCAGCTTATAGTAACCTCTTTAAAAATAACAGATGTGAAAGAAGAAACAGAAAGAAGAAATTGAGAAGGTGACCTTGTCTGTAGCAATGCCAGACATCTAGTAATGCTGCTGGTAGGAAAATAATATAGTGAGTCCAAGTCACCAGTCATTGAGAACAGTTGCTCCTTTCAGATGTGTAAGCAATTCTGTTTGGAGTGAGAAGACTCGTGCACACCCGCGCGCCAGGGTGAGCTAATAGCTCCTGCACTACATGGCTGATGTGTAAAACATTCTGGCCTCAGTATCCTCAGGCCCATCCTTGCTTCCTAGCCGAGTGGCAGGCAATTTCTGGGTGCTGCTGTATCCATGAAGGAATCCTTTCCACAACATTTTGCCTCTATTGAAGATAAGCCTAAATTGTCTCCGGCGCTGTCACACGGCCTTTTGATCAATATTTGCAATTGGCAGGGATCCATATAGGAGAAACCTGCAGTGGCTCTGCCTGCTTGCAGTGGAGGGAGAGGCTGCGGCTGACTTTGTGGTGGGATGTGCAAAGCAGCTGAAAGGGAATCAGAGTGAGCAGCGTGTGTAGGTTGAGCTGTGCTGGCAGAACCCTTAGCTAGTGCTCTGCATTCCCCCTTGCTCTCAAGTGTACGACAGTGACTGTAATAAATGTTTGTGTGTGGGGGGAGCGAGGGGCTTTGTTCGGGAAAGGCTCCTGTTTTTACTGTGCAACTGCACATCCTGCCTGCTTGGTGCAATCTGGTGCATTCCGGAGGCAGGAAAAAAAATCTCCTCTCAAGTATCCTCATGAGC